CAGATCAATCTGTTCTTACTGATATTCTTTGTTCATATTTACATAACTATAAATATGGATCACTCTATAAACCAAGAAATGTCCCCCGTATGACCAGAAAAACAAGCTATACAGTTCATGTCAGTAAAGAAAATCTACAAAATTACAATATGTAGTAAATGATTCCCATGGCTGGAAAACAGCATGTGTCTCTTTACTATAGTCCATATTTAAATTGCCTTCATGCCTCAATCTCTCCCTCCTTGTCACACGTCTCTGTTCATCTCACTTGATTCATATTCATGTTACCGAGATAGGGTTTGTGAATGATTCAGAAAAAAAAATATAAGATTTTCATTCCTCAAGATACAATTCAATGGAGGAGAAGCAGTGCTTATAAGTAGCTATAATGACAATAAAGCAACAAAAAGCAAACAAAAAAAAAAAAACCCAAAAAACAGCCTCGCCATTTGTGAGATGCCATGGACTTTGAAAGATGTTTTAGGTGTGTGGTTATTTACTGAACACCTATTAAGAGACTGAGAATCTAAGATAGGAATACAAGTATAAAAAGCACAGCTATATCACTTGGTGGTGTGTTTTCTCATCTGAGTCACAGTTTCTGAAACAAATGAGAGAGTCTTATATGGGGATAAGTAACAAGAAGGAAAGGAAATGCTGACAGAAATCAGTGGTGGGGATAGAGTTTAGGCAGGGTGACCAGAAAAAAAAACTACTTGGAAGCTGCATCATTTGAAGGAAGGCACACATCCACAAAGAGTCATATATATGAAAGTCATAGAGAACATAAGGCAGATGAATATATATCTACACAAAGCCTGTCATGGCTCATTGAAGCATCATTGGCAATAGTTGAATATGGCAGCTGGTCAAATGCTCATCAGTCAGTGTGGCGGTATGTTACCCACTACTTCTTCCCCCAACCTGATCCTCAAACTACAGCCTCATTAAGAACTAGGGTCACTGTAAATACAGATAATTAAAATAAGGTCATCCAGAATAGCATGGGACTTTAATCAACAGCGAAACTCTAGTAAGAATTATAATTCTAGACAACTCACGTAAAAGACACACAATCCTGGTATTATATTTTAAGTGGAAAGCCTAGATTGGACAGATTTGGAGCTATTCTAACTTACATCCTTGCCACATCTCCCTTGTTATGTGCTGTTTCTCTTGGGACCATGTGCTCATGGTCCATCTCCTCTCATGGCAGCCTCCTCCTTTCTCCATGACATCCATTATTCTCCTGTTCTCTCCTGAGTTCCTTTCCTCAATCCTCAAGTACTGCCTTTCTCTCTCTACTGCCCAGTTACAAACAGGCTTTAGCCTTTTATTGAGCAATTAGCTTGAGGATTAAGGTTTACATAGCATCATTTGATGTAAGTGAGGATCTCCTAGTCTGGGGCAAGGCAACCAGATCTTATGGGCCAGTACTTAACATTTGAATAGATAGCAGCACCGGACCAACCCCAACAAGAAAAGTGTTATTTGAAAACAGAGGTAGAGATTTGAATGACCTAAATACAAGCTGAGAACCATTACAGATTGACAGCTACCTCCAGAACCCAGAAAGAAGCAAAGTTATATAACCAGAGTCTTAGTGCTCAGACCTGCCAACACCTCCAGAACTATGGGAAAATATGTTCCTTTCAGCTACTTAGTTTGTAGTGATTTTTTTTTTTGTTATAAGACCATTATGAAACTAATGCAAAAAAAAATTTTTTTTTCGAGACAGGGTTTCTCTGTGTAGTCCTGGCTGTCCTGGAACTCACTCTGTAGACCAGGCTGGCCTTGAACTCAGAAATCCACTTGCCTCTGCCTCCCGAGTGCTGGGATTAAAGGCATGTGCCACCACTGCCCAGCACAAATTTTTATCTTACAAATAAAATGTGGGATATGCACACAGTGGCATCCTATTTTGAAACAGGTCAAACTGAATGTAGTGTGCTACAACACAGGCCTTGAAAACATGCTGCATAAAAGAAGCCAGAGAGGAAAGACACCACTTGGAGACTGGAGAGAGGGCAGACAGCTATGAACACTGGCTACACGTACAGAGGATCCAGACTGAGTTCCCAGAACCTACATGGCAACTTACAACTATCTGTAATTCTATTTCCAGGATATCTTCTTCTGACCTCCAAAGGAACCAGACATACATGTAGTGCTCATGAAGGCAAACATTCTTACACATAAAATAAAATGAAATAAATATTTTCAAAAGCGTGCAGATATATGATTCCATTACTATAAACTACCCATGAAAGGTAAATGTACTGAAAGGTCAGAGGTTGCTACAGGCTTGACTGGGCAGATGTGGACACCAGCTGGGTATTAACAGTAAATGGGTATCACAGATATTATTTGGGTATTGGAAATGCCCAGAAACCAGATTACAGTGACAGTGGCACATGTAAACAAACTTTCTAAGACTCGTCGAACCTGGTCCTTAAAATCAGTGAATTGTTAATAAGCAAGGTATGTCTAAAAATTGTTTCTTTTTTAAGTAATCTGGAAATAGTAAGAAATGAAGCAGAAAAAAGATGTCTTGATTCTTTCCAGTCACTTACAAACTACAGTGGGCTAGAGAGCAGGTTATTCAGAGGGCAGGAGGAGTTTTAGGTTACAATTCTATGAGTGTAGCCTTCAAATCCACACTCTAATAGGTAGATTTTTAGAATGGAGAAAAACACATGTGAGGATCTGAATACTGAGTCTATATTCATTTTGATGCTCAGAACATGTTTATATGAGATAAACTTCTCACTGTCATCTTCATAGAGTCATTAAAGAAACAGGAGGCACATATAGGAAAAGATAAAACAGGGACAAAGCCAATCACTTCTAGGACATCCATTGTATTTTTAATGGTATTGTCTCATTTCCATCCAACATGTGGTATACTGCCATGCAAGCTATCTTGATTGCTTGGGAGGACAAAGACCTGTTTCTCAAAAGGCAATTTTTTTTTTCAATTAACACCAACCTCTGAGTACACAGCCACATGCGCTGCACTAAAAGGTGTTAACTTGCTCACTGCACTCCGAGTCATACTACTGATATTTATGGGATGATGATTCAACCGTGCAGACGGTTTGTTAGCAAGTTCAGCAGCTGCGTGTGAATGCTGTTGTTAGTATGCACCACGCCATTACTCAGTCAGCTTTGTGCAAATGCTCAAAGGGAGGCAATCAAACGGAGGTGCAAGAGAAATTATGGCGGAGACTTGACAAAAAAAAAAAAAAGAGAAAGAAGTAAAAAAGAAATAGCTTTGTTTGTGAACAAGTCAAATGTGGCTTTGGTGTATTTTAATTTACTTTGACCGTTTTATACCCTGCAGTGGAGAAAGGGCAAACAAAAAGGTAAACATGCATGCTTTTGAGTTTTAACTTTGACCATGAAGTAGATCTTGGTGGGAATGAAAACAAAGTGTTAACCCCTTTGAGATTACAGCTCTACTGTAAAAGGACAGATAGCTATTACCAGCAGTTGTACCCATTTGAGGGTTAATAGTTGCCTCAATTGCTTACTCTAAAAGGCCCCTAACTATGATCTCCCCAATATACAGAGAAGTATGTATTCAGGAATGTCAAACTTAACCTGGGAAGGTGAGATGGCTCAACAGCTAAAAGCACTTACTCTTGGAGAGGACCAATGTTCAGTTTCCACCGTGGACTTGGTGGCTCATCTTTCTCTGTAAGTGCAGTTGCACACGATCCAGTGTCTTTTATTACCTCTTTAGACACCAATCACTTAGGTGATGTCCATACATACATGCATACACTCATGCACATAAGATAAATAAGTCTGAAAAAGAGTTTTCAAAAAGCACTGGGGAAGTTAATCACAAAATCCACATTGTTCTAGGAAAAGTAAAACCGAACAGCAACAGCAGAACTGTTCTCAAGTTCACCCTTCCACAGCAGACCTCACAGTGAACCTAGCAACACTGTAAAAATCTAACTTGTAGTGCTGAGTTGTTTCTTCACAGACTGATTAGATCCTTGTGATGACTCTGTTTCTAAACCAGCACAGGAAAAGTGTTTACAAGATGAATAAAATCAGCTCTCTTTGTTAGTGCACCTGTTCCCTGTTCCCGTCCCTGCCTTGTTTTACTCTTCTGAAACCTTGCATTTCTTTTTCCTCTGACTAAGGGAGGCCTAAAAGAGAGACAAACTAGAGACACCACAAAAATAAAAAATAAAAAAACTTCATCAGTAATGTTGAATCAATTATCGTGGGAAATGTCCAGGGATTAATGAGAAATAAAGCCTTAAGGCAGCCTTAACCAATGAGTCAAGATGGTACTGATAGGGAATAAATGAGATGTTTTTAGTCATTAAACATAGATGCAGTCTGTTGAGGCTGTCACCGTAACTGTCATCGCTTGTCATCTCTCTAGTGGAGGACAGTGATGTGAGTACCAGGGTAACTACTACTCAATTGACAGGACAAGCACATGTAAAAACTGCCTCCTGTAGGTGCATATCATTTGTTATGGGGTGAAAATATAGGACACAGGCTTCTGATGTTGCCTCGAGTGCACTCATTCAGATTCATTCAGGTTGACCTTAGACACGAATAAACACCATGGCCCCAAAATGTCTCTGAGAAATCACTTATGTGGACACCATAAAGGATGTATTTTAAAAGTGATATTTAAGTAGTTTAATGTTCTGTGCTGTCTTTCCAAGGGGTGACATTCCTACTGACTAGGAACCTATCAACTCATTTTCCTTCCTCAATCCCAAGTGTCCTTTCCCAAGTATGTCTGAGAAGTGTGGAGAATGTAACCCTCTGAAGATGGTGTAAATGCTATGATATGAATTTTTCTCTCAAAGAAAAATGGAGGAGGATTTTGGGTTATATGCTGTTAGAATAGAGCCTGTTTTAGGTGATGGAATTAAGGGTGCACATAGGAGTATCTATATAGAAAGAAAACGCTTATCTACATCTAGCCATAACCTCTGAGACTTGATTTCTTTGTCTGTTCACAGGGGTGATGGGTGAATATGAGCCCAAAATAGAAGTACAGTTTCCAGAAACCGTCCCAGCTGAGAAAGGAACAACAGTCAAGCTGGAATGCTTTGCCTTAGGAAAGTAAGTTTCTCCTCCCCTGCTCTGGCAGGTAGAGAATTGTCTTCAGTGCTCACAGCTATGGTTTCTGAGCTGTCTAAAAATCAAATCGTCTTTCTCTTTGTAATTCTGTATGTACATCTTTGATTCTTCCAGCTTCCTATGGAGAGTGACAGGTAATGGCTGCAGAAGGGTTGGGCTGCCACAATTGACATGGCCACAAAGGAAAGAATAGGCAATTCTAAAAAAGTATTTCATTGTATTATTATGACCTATAATACACATGCTGTCTAACCCAGAATGACAGGAAAACAATGGTCTTCATTTGAGGTACAGGCAAACTGACTGTTTGGAAAAATAGAAACTTTCATTCTGGCCCCACTTACAGAGGACCCATAAAAATTTTCTTGCATGTCTTTTCAAATTACACAACTTTTTCTCTCTCATTTGGATTTCCTTCTATTCCGCTAGAGATAGAAAAGAGGTGATATCTAAAGTCTATTTTAGAGTGGTCTGAAAACTATTCACAACTTTATTATTCCATCTGGCTTACACTTTAAAGAACCTACTTGGAAAGCACTTAACCCTTCCCATAGATGACCTGCCAGAGGCCATCGAAAAGGAAATGCAGATCTGCTGGGAGTTTTATATGCCCCAGTAACCAACAGGACTGGTTTAGCATCAACAATATAAACTACCACCAGAAGGGTGAGCACTAGCGCCCTTGTGAATTTTAATGAGCTGTGTCTGTATTTTCTCGTAGCCATATCTAGCCTGCTACCCATTCCTAATCCTGCCTATTTTTTATGAGCCTAAATATTTATGAAAGCCACAACACAAGTTCTTACGGAGACCTGTCTCAGTGTATAACATTTTTTAAAGGAAATTATTGTGTTTTACAGAAACTTTAGGCGTTATTTGCATTTTCAATTTTATTTCAACTCCAGTGGAATGATTGTTTTCAAGTTGTGACTGTGGGACACAGTGGTATCTTAACTTGGGAACACTTTAATGAGGTTTAATACAGTCGTAATTTTGTATCTCCTAAAAACGTATCATGGTATATAAATTGTGACAGAGCTGCAGGACTGAACACTAGACAGAAATGAAAGGCAAGCTGTAAAGTCACGTGTAAGACATGGCAATGATTTATTGCTGAGAAGAAAAGCAGATTGCACGCATCGTAATGTGATTGATCTTAAAATTTTAAAGTCTTTCTCTGAATCTATAAAATAACTGGAAGACAGTAAGAACAGGCGACTGGATCATCAGGATCTATATCCAGGGATGTTTGCAAGATGACACATTAAAAACCCCTCCCTGGAGAAAGCAAAATTCACAGTGCTTACACTTCCAAAGGGACTATGAATTAAAAATCTATTCACAGTGCTTAAATTGTGCTAAAATAAAAACAAAAAAACACAAATTGGACTCCTCAGTTCCACATAGAAGTGTTTGAATTTGCACATCTAGTTGTTGAAATACACCATCACAGGGCTAGCGAGATGGCTCAGTGGGTTAAGAGCACTGTTTGCTCTTCCAGAGATCATGAATTCAATTCTCAGCAACCCCATGGTGTCTTACAACCATTTGTAATTGGACCTGATGCCCTCTTCTGGTGTGTCAGTGACAGGATGCTCATATACATTAAATAAATAAAATAAATCTTAAAAAAAAGAAACCCATACACCATCACTGCCCACTTAAGAGCAGAGGACTAGTTTAAGTACAGTTGTGTTTAACAACGTGTATTAAGTATATATCTAATTGGATTTAAAGGCACCCACCATGTGCTTCTGATAGACTCCTCCTGCATTTTGAGTCACTGTCTGCCTACTGAACTTAAATTATTTTTAAACAAATGTAGCAGAGTTGATAGCTTTAATTTTTAAAATACCATCTCAAGTTTCCCAGAGAAGATTGGCAAGTCTTTCCTGTAATTACTTCTCTGGGAGTGTTGTTGTGAACAATGAATAAGTAAATCATGGCATCCCCTGCCAGGAAGCTCCAGTCCTCAGAGCTGAGGTGAGCTTCAAAACCACTCATTTGCAGTCTGCTGCCATCACTGGCACTTTAAGATGTGTTCCAAACACTTATGGCAGGATGATAGATGTGTTGAGAGGAAGACGTGAAGACCCCACAGGTTGCTCTTTTTTTCATCTTGCTACTTTAATTATTTTTCTTACATATCACCTTCCGAATGGACCTATAAATGGGTAAAGTCCTCAATATGGAAATGACAATAAGGACAGATACCCACTGTGTTACCCAGATCAAGCTCCCATGAGTGGCCTGCTCCTCAATGCCAGCAATTAGGTTTTAGTTTTCAGCATTGATGAGCTCCTTATTTCACTGTTGCTTGTTCTGTATGTGGGTATAGCTTACAGTGTGGTCCTCACATTGCTGGATATTTAGAAGAATATATTGCTTCTGCTCTCTACTGTAGGGTCCCAAATTTAAAAGGAACAAGCAACCAACATCTTATTATTATCTCATGATTTATGGGTTAGGGATCTAAGCAAGGTTTTGCTAGGAGATGCTTTGGTCTCTTTTGGTGATGCTTTTGTATTGTCTTTGAGGGTTTCATGCTGTACAGCTGCTGGAACCTTGGTGGTTCCAAAAGACATTTCTTTCACATTTCTGGCATCTTGGAGGCAAGATTGGATGGATCTGTCATTAGGTAAAACCACCCATTGAGACATCCTCTGTGTATTAAGGTGGCCAAATATCTCACAGGTGCCCCTAAGAAGGTGTTCCAAAAATCAGAGTGTGGAAGCTGTCTGTTTCATAATACATGAATAAATACACTCATGTCTATTTATTAGTCAGAGTAGTCAAAGAGTCTGACAAGTTCAAGAGGAGGGGACATATACCTGTTCTCAGTGGGAGGAGTGTGTTGGAAGTTGCTTCTATCTCACTTCTACCACATATGTGCCTGAACATTTTTATTTTAATAATTATAATCTAGAAACCCATAAATATTAGAAAATAATAAAAAGGGTATATTTTAAAATGTTTTTTTTCTTTCAAGGGTAATGGTGTGTAGGAGGTTGAATGCTTTGTTTAATGTTAGGAATGTCGATTTTATGAAAAACATGTGAATAATGCTAGTGATATAAAGCCTGCTAAAAAATAACGATCACATAGAAACGAATCGTGGGAAATGCTTTAACATGTTCATGGCTGAGGAAATGATGGAAAGAGTTCTCAGGAGATTGCAAAAACAAGACAGAGCTTTCTTTAATTTGGTTCATCCTGTTTTATCCTCACTCTCAGCCCAGTCCCAACTATTCTATGGCGAAGAGCTGATGGAAAGCCGATAGCAAGGAAAGCCAGAAGACATAAGTCAAATGGAATTCTGGAAATTCCCAATTTCCAGCAGGAAGATGCTGGTTCATATGAGTGTGTGGCTGAAAACTCCAGAGGCAAAAACGTAGCAAAGGGACAGTTGACTTTTTATGGTAAGTCTTCAGCTATGCTTATTATTTGTCATGCTACAGTACTTTTCATATTAAAATCATGTACTGGCAGTTCTGCAATGGAAGATTTTCTTTTCAGGGATCCTGTAGAAGAGGACTGTGTAAGACTCACTTTTCTACATAATTAGCATGCCCTAGATGACTCTGGGTGTGGAAAGTAGAGGTGGGGGCAAGGATGTTGAAGGAGCAGAGAGGAAGGAATTAAGCTGATGTGTTTTAGACACGGACGATAGTGTGAACACACTCCCAAAGGAGAACGTTTTTCCTGTTTTCCTCTTCCCATTGAGCTATGAGCCTGACACCGGAAGTAAGTTTGGTGGATGTGTGTGTGTGTGTGTGTGTGTGTGTGTGTGTGTGTGTGTGTGTTTGTGTTAATTGAAGCTCTGTGCTCCATGTGAATTTTGATTTAAGGCTCATCCTAATCCTTCTTAAATGTACCTTCTTGATAGCAGTTTAATGTAGTATCATGATCATTTCAAAATGTACTCTATCCAAATTTAGTTCTCAGTATGGACCTCAGAGTAGAGCATAAAAAATATCTCCTCACATAGATTTCTTTTCATGTGAAGGAAGCTGTTTCTGTTCTGATCAAATCATCTGTATTGACCCAAATGTAAATGTAAAATCTGTGTCATATGGCTCGTACTGAGCATGACCTGGAAAGCTTCAGGACTACTGATGTGAAGTCCAGAAAAGTGTTTCATTGGAAATGCATTATACAATAAATTTGAGAGATTCCAAGCTGATCAATTTGCTTGCTTGTTTGTTTGTTTGTTTTGAGACAGAGAAAAAAGGTCTCTATTTTGTAGCTCTGGCTGTTCTGGAACACTTACAATGTAGATCAGCCTGACTTTGAACTCATAGATATCCACCTATCTTTGCCTCTTAAGTGCTAGGATTAAAGGCATATACCACCACACCCAGCCAGTTGCACCTATTTCTATGCGCTCTTCTTCCAAAGTCCTTTATTTTTAAGACAAGCTGAAAACTACATTCAGTGATGAAATAAAACACATTATTGGAGATTGGAAAGCAGACTGGAAAGCAAGGAACATATCCAGTATCTGCCACTGGCCTTCTTCTCCCCAGGTCTTATCATTTTAAACTTGTCTAATACTAAAGCAGCTGGTATGGTAGGATTCTAGAAAATTCTCCATAAAATGAAAAGGATATCTATAGTTTAGGGGGAAAAAAGAAACCTCACTTTTCTTATTTACTTTTCTTTATACCTATACCAAGTGAAGGATTTGATATTTGGTCTTTTTCTTTTATAATTGGTGTCTTTTTTGATGAGTTGAAATGGGTAACATACCATAGTTATCTGGAAACTTACAAAAGCCAAAGATACAGGTCTGTTCGGCGAGAAACAATTGACATGTATTTTTTTTAAAGCTGTTTGAGATTTATTTTCTTACCCACCTCATAATTATATTCTTTATGTCAGGTAGCAACTACTTGAACCTAGATAGGCAAAATGGGTGAAATTTTTCTTTCTTCTTAATTGGATACTTTTAGGTTCATTGGATTCTAAATGTTATTTAAATCACTGGATGAACTGGAAGTTACTTTCACTTTCATGATTTTCTTTTAAGGTGAAGGCTTGCATAAGTATGTTAAGAAGGTGTCTTCTGTAGCCACGTTTTACCATTTATCTTCCTAGGGATTGAAGGTGTCCATCCTAGCAATATAGCAATGCAGAGCCACCCTGCTGGAGAATAAACCTTCTTACTGGCCCCCAACCTTATGTGAAATAGGTGCTTCCCAAGCATCCTGCCCTAGCGCTGAGAATCAGGGGCTAATGGGGCCTAACAACCTTCACTTTTTAAATTGTGCTGTCCAACCTAAGATATAAATGCATTGTTTTGATAATGCATAATCCATGATGGGTAAGGAAGGCATTCTTGTCAGAATGACCTAAGACAGGCTCAGTCTTGTTAATGAAATACAAAAGGGGGAGAGACAAAGAGCCTTTGGGGCTGCTTGGCAAGAATCTGACATGGGCCAAGGACAAGGAAATGGGCTGCTTGGCAGGAATATGACATTGGCCAAGAACAAGGAAGTAGGCTTCAGGCAGGAATCTTCCATTAAGCTAGAACAAAGAAGTAATCTCAGGCAGGAACCTAAATATTAGGCTAGAACAAAGAAGTAATTTCAGACAGGAATCTAAATTTTTGGCTAGAACAAGGAAGTAGGCTTCAGACATGAAAAAAATCTTGCACTGTGACAGGGAAGTAGGCTCAGATACTTTGGTAATCCTGATAAGGACTTAGAAACAGTGATCACAGGAGTGTTCACGTAACTGAGTTTAATGCCTTGCTTTTTCTTTGACTATTTTGTTTACTGTGTTGCTTGTTCCTTGACTATTTGCATCTATTGTATTGCTAGATCCTCAACCTAGAACTGACTTTAATACATGCATGTAATCAAAATGGTATAAAAGCATAAAGGAGGAGGGGGGATGGGATAGGGGGTTCTAGGGAGGGGAACTGGGTAAAGGGGATGACATCTGTATTGTAAATAAATAAAATATCCAATAAAAAATAAATAAATTGTGCTGTCTGCAGCAGTGCTTGATGATGGAGCAGAATAATTTCACCTGTTTTCTGAAGATAGTGGAGTATCACCTCATTGTCAGTCACCCTTGATGTTACATCAGCTGACTCACGTAGCACGTGGCTATTATATATGTTTATTCTTTTGTTCTTCCTCAACAAGCATATCATTGATATTGTTTTCACTGTCACAGGAGGGGGCTTAATTATACAGAAGTGCTTAGCTGTCATTTTTTCTTGTCTATTTTTTTTTTCCTGAAGGGAGGGTTTTGGTGTGTTCCCAGTGCTATGTTTCTAATATCCAGCTGCCTTAATCTTCAAGCTAAATGAATTATTATAATTAAAATCACTGTGCAGAGTCCCACAGAGGGACAAAGTAGCCCTGGTCACTTATCTAGAATTGTTCTGCCTTTGTTAACAAGATAGTTCCTTACAACAACATTAAGGTATGCTTGCTCAGGGGTTAGGAACTATGGGGTGTGCTTAGAAATCTATATATTCAATTGTAATAAGAAATGAAACTTGCAGGAAAATGAATGGATGTGGAAAGTGTAAAATTAAACAAGGTGACTAAAAAGACAAAATGCGCATGTTCTCTGACATATGTAGATGCTGCTTTATGGTATAAGTATGTATCTATATAGATGGATATTGTTCACACATGAATGTGAAAAAAAGTGGAAGATTATGAGAGGGTACCAGGGATGAGTGCATAATGGAGAAGCAGAAGCACAAAAACAAACTTTGCTTGAATGGTATGGTAATAGCTAGCACCTTGTATACTAATAAAAACTAATAATCAAACAAAAGTGAGGAAAAAAACATTATTTTCTTGTTGTAACACAGTGTTGACCCATTTGGCATCTCTGTAGTAACAATTCTGGTAAAGTGGATATTTATTTCCTTGTTTCTCTATAAAAGCATTTAACCTTATTCCAGATGCTTACTTCATAGACTCACATTGCACTCCCCTCCCCTGTGTGAGGTTGGCAGAGGTACTTGGTCACTGCCAGTACTGTACCTATGCCTATATAGGTTAATGCGTGCCGATTTGTCTCACCACAGATAAATGGCTGTGAGGAGTTTCAAACATACAGCATTTAATGTTATTTCATCTTGTTTGTTTTGCTCAGACCTATCTTGCCAGAGTAGTAACTTTCATCTGTTCTTTCAGTCTTTTTATTTTTACAAGAAAAATATATCTTAAAGTACAAATCTGATTTCAGATATACAATGGTAAAATTTGTTTCCTGGACCAGAACCCTTCCAATATGACTTTAATAGGTTATGCATTTGTTTAAAACTATCTTGATGTGGCCCCATTATGTAGGGGCCCATTGCTATATAGTAGGATGCTAGAAAACTTTTCAACAAGGAGTTGATATTTTACCAGATTGTTAACAGATAAAGTGCTAAAATAAATGAACTCAATATTTCATCTTTTAGTAAGAATACAGGAGAAAATAATGAGAGCTCTTTGAGATGAAGTCTCCGCTGCAAAGAAAGGTCAAGGAGTCATGGAAGGTTTAGTTGGTAAGATTGACCACTGAGCAGAAATCCCAAAGTAAAAACACATAGCCTATACAGGGAAGCCCATACCAGGTGGAAAATAGGGAGGATCCAAAGCCCTAACAACTGTGTGACAAGCTTGCAATGCAGGGAGGAAGTTCATGTTTCTAAACTATAAGGACCAAGGAAAGAACATACATCTGAAACAAAGATAAAAGCTAGGTGGCACCTTATAAGCCAGGTAGAGTTTAGGTTTTATTCACGATCCATGGGAGAATGCTGAATGATGAAATGACTCCATTTGATTCATGATTCTAAAATGTCGGCTGCTTTGTGATGAGTAGATGTTTAAATCACAGGAGTGGAAAGGACAGTTAAGCAGCCATTTGTCCAGTGTATGTGAGCCATGTTTATGACTGGAACTTTGAGAAAAATAAAGACAGATGTATTTTGGAGTCATAGCCAGTAAGGATTTCCCATTTCATTCCTCCAATTATCCAGTTTAGAAAGAAACTCACTCCCAAAGATATTGGAGTGTGTGAGTAATGTTTACATATTGAGAATTAGAACTAGATCCCAAATGCTGTACTAGAGGTTCTGCAGCTTCTGTGTATATCAGGATAAGTGAGAAATCTTAAGAAACTACAGAATATTGAGCTATGCACATGGTGGTTTTCATTTGATAGATATGAGATTGCATTTCAGCTAATTTCCCAGGTGTAATTCTTCTGCTGATGCTTCTGTGAGGATCACATGGTAAGGATTGCTGCTCTGTGAGACATCATTTCCAATGTTGTAGTGAAGGCCAATGAATGCCATGCATGAACATTTCTAGATTAAACAATTGGTTCTTTCGCTTTTTACTTTCTAAGCATTTTGTAAGCTATGACTAGACCTTGTGTGCTGCAGTCTATGTCTATA